ATACACTAAAGGGTAACAAAAAAAAAAAAAAAAAGTAAAGTCGGGAGATGTGAATCAGCGTCATTGCACACGGTTATAAACCACAAGTGCTCTGCCACCAGTACGGACAGCTGATAAGAAACTGTCCGCCTGTGTCGCCGTCCGCAAGTAACTTCGTAGCTACAGCGACGTTCCTCCATTTACCGCAGAATGTCAACTCTGGTGCCTATTTCCAAGAGGCTGGGTGAACCCCGGGAACCGCCCGGTTTCGAACACCGGCCGTGGCTGCAGCGAGTCGCAGCTGGATTTTAAAGCGAGTCTCTTATTGACTGCGCTAACGCGGACCCCGATACAACAGGGCAATATGGTACAATCACATATGTTTAGGATGATAGATTAACGGTCTTCGGGCCAATTGCGGTCCACCAGACTAAACATGTGGCCCTCGAAGACATATTTTCTTCGGATTCTTATTTATTATTTATTATTATTATTATTATTATTATTATGTGCAGTGGCCTTGTGCCACGAGGCCGCTCCGGTAGCCATGGTGGCAAATCTGTCACCACGAAACGTCCTGGCCAACGGAGCCCTGCTGAAGTGGCGACAGGCCTAGCAAGCTGGCAGTTGATTTAAGATTGCTTCAACGAATATTATGAGATATAGGCGGACTGAAGGCGAAATCTTACGTCTCGCTTTACATCCGAGGCAATAAAAGAGGAAGTGAACATATTATTATTATTATTGTTGTTGTTATTTTTATTATGTTCATTATTTTAAAAAAGTAAAGTAAGTAAAGGACCATTTTCCACTCCTTTATGCGATTAGGGCATATAGGGCTAGACCTATATTTTTATAGACCAATAATGGGCACAAGATGGGTGATGGGGTCAGCATCAAGCCGGCCGCCTTTACTTCCCCGGGACTGCACCCGGTACCCACTCAAGGCTGGGTCGACATGAGAGTCTAGGCCATTTTTCAAAATAGTCTGTCTCTGCCAGGGAGCGAACCCACGACCTTCCGATCCGCGGCGAGTGTAGCCTCTCGGCCACGGCCACTCCCTGTGTTCAGTTTTTGTATAATCTAAATCTAATCAGTGGCAGGGCGTGATAAATTTCCACGTGTAAGCGCTAGCAGGTAACGGTTACACTGAGAGGGTCTCACGTGATATTGTCATCCGCCTTGTTGAGAATATACGTGCGCAGTTATTTTGTAATACTAGTAACTGGTAGTCTTTACACGTTACAGTTTCTGCATGGGAGGCGCAAGTCTGCGGTAAACATTCTGTAGCTGTGTTCGAAACGTAAAACCAGTGTTGGATTGGTAATCAATATCAATCATCATCATGTAGCAGGTCCCTTGCAGAACGTCGCTCTCATCACGGTCTGCCTAAAAGGTTCAAATGAATCAGACAAGCACACACACCCACATGCAGAGTACAACAGGCGAGCTAGTGAGGACAACAATGGGACGGCGGTGGGGGGTTGCTGGGGCACACGCACACACAAACACACACAAACACACACAAACTATATGAAGTTCATAATTGCAGGAAAGACGCGTGTAAACAAGGAAATATCAAAAATGTTAACATTCATGTCCCTCTACTATTCCTTTTACCATGTGGGCTCCGATGCAAGAATTAAATTTGGATATTAATCTACTTAACTACAACTACGCTGAAGGTAGAAAGGGGAAATAACACACATGATTAGAGTAGTTTCCCCTTTAAAAAGCTGTTATTTGTGTTTCTTTTTCAGGACGTTGCAGAACCAACCCCAGCAATTTTGTTTCTACTGTTTGATATCTGAGTAGGCAATTTTACGTTCAGTAGTTTGCCACCACTCTCCGATGATCTGTTCTCGATACCATTATTGATACCAAGGCAAGGTGATCTGCTTTTAAATCGTCCGCCGCTGGGGTCGACCCCGGCATCTCAGGATTTAGATGCGCGTCCACAGACACACCCGCGCGCGCGCACACGCACACACACATACACATACACACACACACACACACTCACACACACACATGTATCCTAATAAATACATACATGTCGGCGTCATTACACAATATGTTGGACATATATGATGAGATGATATTATGATGTAATCTGAATTATGAGGTATGAGTTATGAGTTTAGTTATCTTTGCGGCAGCACTCCGGACATGTCCATAGGCGCTCAGATTCCCGCCTCAGCATTTACTTCTGTGGTTGAGATGAATTATGTCCGTTTTCCATAGTTGTGGATTTCAGGTTGTACGATAGACATGGCCAAAAAAGACGGCTTTTTTTGGGTGATGCCTAGTTAGTCATGTTTTTATTACACTTGTTTCCATAGCAAGGCGCACACGCCATCTGGAGGTGACAGTTTCAGTTCCCAGCACAGTAACATAGCTTTCAATTGTTGTGTTGTCTAATGTGTCCTTCTGTCTTTTTACTTCGTTCTATGAGTGCATATATATACATTATCAATTTGTTTATATATATATATATATATATATATATATATATATATATATATATATATATATATATATATATATATATATATATATATATATATATATATATATATATATATAATAGCCGAAATATGAGCGTCCTGTGATTAATATTAGGTCCCCATATAACCTTACGCTCGCCGGCGGATCGCAAGGTCGTGGGTTCGCGTCATGACGGTGCCGAACTTTTTTTTTTTCAAAAATGGCTTTAACTTCCAGGTCGACCCATCCTTGCGAAATGCGCGTAAAAGCGTGGAAAGGAACCTTCACGTTTACTTACTATATAGTCTTACGGTTGATCGAGGTTTTGAGTATTAGTACCTGGGGGACTGTCATCCGAATCGTGACACTTTAAAACACCGGGTCTCAATTGTACAGTGTAGCGTCCCAGTCCTATCAACTGCACTCAACATGCTTATTCAGGGACAAGGGAGCCAATCCCCCGCAAGCCCCTTTTGGGAAATTGGGCATTAGAACAATTTGGACGATCTTTAACCAGATGTATGGGAGCTGATGTGGTCTTGCGGCTAGGCTACACGCTCGTCTGCGGATCGGACGGTCGTGGGTTCGGTTCCTGACTTAAAAAAAATAAGACCTGGGCTCCGAGGTCGATCCACTCTTGATGGGGTACTAGGTGCATTCAAGTAAAGTAAATGCGGCCGGTGTGATGCTGGCTACATTACCCATCAAGTTCCGTTTGGTCTATAAAACAAAGGTCTAGCCCTATATGCCCAATACGCCTGAAGGGCGTGGAAAAGGGCGCTTCACTGAATACAACCAGATGTCTATAACAGTTGAGCCTAGAAACCACTACGGTAACTTGCTTTGGTACACGAACCAAACTGCCTTGCAGATTCTGCTTGTTGTTATTGTTGCTGTTGTTGTTTTTACTATGGATTGATCCTTAAACATTGTCCCACGTACCGATAGCAACTGACCGGAAGAGGAAGGGACTTCAATGATTTATGACTCGGGACTCGGAATGGAAGCATTTTTGTTGACTTGAGACTTGACTGGGACTTAGTGGCAATAATTTCGGACATGGTGGCAATAATTTAGAACTTGGTGGCAATGATTTAGGACTTGGTGGCAATGATTTATGACTTGGTGGTAATGGCTTTGAACTTGGTGGCAATGATTTAAGACTTGGTGGCAATAATTTAGGACTTGGTGGCAATAATTTAGGATTTGGTGGCAATGATTTAGGACTTAGTGGTAATGATTTATGATTTGGTGGCAATAATTTAGGATTTGGTGGCAATAATTTAGGACTTGGTGGCACTGATTTATGACTTAGTGGCAATAATTTAGGACTTGGTTGCAATGATTTATGTCTTGGTGGCAATGACTTGGGACTTGGTGGTAATGATTTATGTCTTGGTGGTAATGGCTTGGGTCTTGGTGGCAATAGCTTGTGACTTGGCGGCAATGGCTTGGGTCTTAGTGGCAATAACTTGTGACTTGGCGGCTATGATTTTATGACTTGGTGGCAATGATTTAGGACTTGGTGCCAATGATTTAGGACTTGGTGCCAATGATTTAGGACTTGGTGGCAATGACTTATGACTTGGTGGCAATGACTTACGACTTGGTGGCAATGATTTATGACTTGGTGGCAATGTTTTAGGACTTGGTGGCAATGATTTATGACTTGGTGGCAATAATTTAAAACTTGGTGGTAATGATTTAGGACTTGGTGGCAATGATTTATGACTTGGTGGCAATGATTTAGGACTTGGTGGCAATGACTTGGGACTTGATGGCAAGGGTTTGGAACTTGATGGCAATGGCCTTGCGCTCACTTGGACTTTAACGGTGGCGACTTAGTCCAGCCCTTGTGACTATAATGTCTGAATGGTACCAGATGGTTTATTGCAAGAATGAATAAATGAATGAAGAATTAACATCACTGCACTAGGGACATTCCCACATGTGCTCCGCACCCATTTTCAGTAGCCAAAGAAGAGCAGACCTGCTAATAGAACCAGTTTCCATCTGACTAAAAGCCCGCCTGTTTCCTCTTCAATGTTGAATACCTTCCAGAATCTCTATACACCACTAGTGAATTACTCTTTAGGTGTCTGGATACACTGTCTGTTCTATAGTACTATTCATCTGATCTCAGAGAGCTTTTACCACATCTGTTTGATCAGAAAGTAGCTCCCCGCCCAGAGGCGCGGCAGCAGCAAATATATCAGCCTGTTACCTCACCAAAAAATCGGTATATTCCGGCTCTGAGTCTTATCAAGTGACGCAAGACACTCTACGCTTAGGACGTCAGTTTCAGTTTTATAGACCATGGTGTTTGAGTACGTTACTATTACAACATGCGGCTATGTGGTGCTCTCAAGCCATCGAAAAGCTGCAGTTACTGCCTCAACCTCCATTCTCAAAGTGAATATAGTGACTCTGTACGCGAGGCTTTGTTTGCAAACTGTGTCAATGGAAATGGTGATTTAGGACCTTCATCTTGTTGTGGTCAGCCCTGGTTGTGAATTTGTCGTAGAGGACAAGGATCAGACCTCAGAGACGCGAGTAGACTTCACCGTCATCAGCTGGGTTTCACTCCGAGCGCCGGTGGCTTTGATGATGTTGCTGAGGAAGATCTTGATAAACGTGTCCCGGAAGTGCTTGCTCATGGTGCAGTAGAGCACAAAGTTTATCCGTTGTTGAACAAAGCCAGGGTGTCCATGAGGTCTCCGAGGTGGCCGTAGACGTCGGTGAAGAACCCCTGGATGATCCCGCCCAGAAGCTGCAGGATTCCTTGGGGTGTCTCTGTGAGCACGAAAAGAACCACCACCACCACCAACATCCTTGTCGTTCGGTTAGTCTTTCGATGGCGCCGAGAATCATCTTCTGCCTTTGAATTGCCCTTATTCATCAGCTTTTTCCTCCGGTTCTCGGCGTCCTTCATTTGCTTTATAAGCAAGATGCTTAGCACAGCCAGAAGTAGACAAGGAAGAAGCTTCACCAGCGTTGCTTGAATCCATAAGTTGAACGTCTTCAGGAACTGATACCCTGGTGTGTCCATTCGTACGTCGATGTACCATGTAGTTTGGTTTTTATTATTGATGACAGTGTGAAAGGTGTAGCTAACAGAATTAGGGATGCAGACTAAAGTAACAACAACAGAGACTATGAATACAGTCAGTTTTGCCCGATAGGTACTGCACAGTTTCGCCCCTCGACGAGGATATCGGATAAAAACGTATCTAAACACAGCGAGCGAGACTGTCAGCCATATTGAAATACTGTGGACGATCACGCTGAAGATGGCGAAGAACATGATGAATCGAGCGTTTGACAAGGGACTCGGGGTTTCTTCTGAGTAAAACACGTGGTAGTTGAGTACAGAATAGGGCAGGTAGACCAACATGGTGACTCCATCGGAGATTGCCAGCCCGGTGAGAAGGACATTGGTGGGCGAGACCATGTTTTTCCGGGTCAGTACTACGATGTTTAGGCAGTTGGCAATTATGCCCAAGACACAGATGACCGGAGCGGCGTACCCGTGGATTGGCCGGTAGGTGGTCATGAATAAGGCTAGGCCATTCGTTTCTGTGTTTGTGAAGTTGCCAGTTGGTGTCAGCTCTTCTACTGTTTGGGCTGTTGGCGTCGGCGAAGAGGTGGCCATATTGACAAGTGGTGTTGTAAAGTTTGCATTTATTATGTACGCCATTGTTGTTATTCAAAGCTGAATGTCAAGAGATATTGAAAAAAAGGACAAAATCAAACTCAGGTGCAGAATTTCAACATCTCAACGACTTTTCCCATTTGTTTTTTGAAATTTCCACGTCATATCTTCGTATAGAAAGTTACTCCAAAATTGTCCCGACTTTGATCTTAAAATATACAAACTTGGCAAGGGAAATAATCTATCAAAGGGAGATAACAATAACGTCATTGCAATAATTTAATATACCTTTCAAATAATAAACATATAATTTGTGATAACTGTTTGTCCATAAATACTTTCAAATAATTCAATTGATTGTAGTAATAAATTTAGTCTGAGCACTAGAAGCATTCTGAATATTTCTTGGCGGTAAATGCAAGAAAATTTCGGAACCAAATTGAGTGTTGAGTGAAGGACGGACCGTTTGTGATGCAGGCAGTGTTGTTGTTAACGTCAGCTGATAAGCTGATTGGTCGACCTTGGGAATGCGGCCTCTTTTTCAACCAAAGCGGATGTCGTCTGAACGTGATGGCCATCTTGTTTTACTAAGTCCTGTAAAAAAAAAAAAAAACCAGAACATTTAGTTAGTTTTTCAATTGCTATGTAGTTTTAACTTGTTAAGTACAGTTTCTATAACATATATTTACAGAGGCAGGACCAAGCCTGAATTATGACGAACTGTAGAGCAGATTTTTCCTTGCAGATGCGGACAAATAAAAAATTCTAAACTCCCTTACTAACTTTCAGACATTTAGGGTGTGTCTAGTTGGTCATGTTCATAGTACGCTTGTTTCTATAGCGAGGCTCACACGCCATTTAAAGATGACAGGTTCGATTCCGGGCACAGTAATTATAGCTTCATTTTTCTGTTGTCAAGTGTGTCATTCTGTTTCTTTCTATAAATGGCGCATTGTATGTTTATTTTATATACAAACTTTCTTGGCGAAGAGAAGGCATTACCCTTGTTTAAATGCCTACAAATAATAATAATAATAATAATAATAATAATAATAATAATAATAATAATAATAATAATAATAATAATAAATAATAATAAATAATAATTGCAATAACAATATTAATAATAGGAGTATTTATCCAACTGACTTATCGAGGTGATGACGTCACGCAGCGTCTGCAGGACCGACTGAAAACAGCAGTTGGCCAAACATTCTTTTCGGCTATTTCAGTAGTGGGGTACAAGACCACTCCTTTCCCAACCCCACCTATTAAACAGCTACTTTCTCCGTACACCAAATCTAATTTTTTTTTACCAATTTACATGTAAGTGTCAGTTGACTTACATCGGTGGAACGGAGAGACGGCGTGGAAATAGAGTGGCAGAGCACATACCCAAATGGCTACATTCACAGCTCAGTGATCCTTCTAGGGTGTCGAGGCCAGTCAAGAGGAAAGAACCCGCTTCTTCCATAGGATGTCAGCTACTTAATTCCGGACACATAATTGACACAGATACTGCTTTCCGTGTGGTTTACGGAACAGGAGACTTTTGAGAATCGCCGAAGCCTTAACAATTAAAATTGACAACCCCGTCCTTTGTAAGCAGACGGAATTTATTGTAAATTTGTAGTTACCCTGGTAAGTCACGTGACTAAGGTGAGCTTCCGGCGGCCATAAAACACACACAATGCGTGGCATTTCAGTAGGATTTATTGAGCTTCGTGCTTCATTTTATGTTGAATTAATCAAGTAACAGAAAGTATTGTGAACGGCACTCATAGAAAGAAGTAGAAAGATAGAAGAACACACTAGACAACATAAAAATCGAAAGCTATAGTTACCGTGCCGGGAATTGAACCTGTCACCTTCAGACGGCGTCTGCGCCTCGCCATGAATACAAGTGCACTAAGAACATGGTCAACTGGGCACCCCAATAAAAGGTGTCTCATTGGCCATGTCTATCGTACAGCTTGAAATCCACGACTATGGAATACGGACAGATTTTATTTCAACCCATTTTATGTTGTTGTAACTCTGTAGTATCGCACCTGACGAGACACCGCGAGATATGCCAGGCAATAAATTGTGCAGTGGATTGTTTGTGTCCGCATTATTTAATTAAAAATAATAATAATCAATAAAGTGCTGAATAAAGCAACCTCCTCCACGCCCTCAAGCATTCTGGGTATATAGGGCTAGACCTGTATATTATCAACCAGTCGGCTCTCGGTGGGTGATGTGGTCAACACCACGCTGGCCGCCTTTACTTCCCAGGACTTTACCTCGTCTCCAATTAGGACTGGGTCGGCCTGGAAGCCTATATTATTTTTGAAAAAAAAATGTATATACAAAAGATAAACTGGTGTAATTTAAAACGGGACGGGCCTCAGTGCTTACGGCCTTATCAAATCAAAATCCGGCCCTGCTCTCACTGATGACGAACTTCCTCCAAATATAAATTGATCTTTCCCCAGTTATAAATTGATCTTTCGCCAACTATAATTTGATCTTTCCCTAACTCTAAATTAATCTTTCCTCAGCTGACATTGATCTTTCTCCACCTATTAATTGATTTTTTCCCCAGATATAATTTGATCTTTCCCTAATTTTAAATTAATGTTTCCTCGTCTATAAATTAATCTTTTCTCACCTATACATTTATCTTTCCGAGTTATAATTTAATTGTTTTCCCAACTACAATTTGATTTTTTCCCAACTATAATTTGATCTTTCCCTAACTATAAATGATCTTTCCCCAACTATAATTTGATCTTCCCCTAACTAAAAATTGTCACCCGCAAAACTCTCCCGATCTATAAATTTACAATGCTACTGTAACTGCTAAACTAACCAGAAATCGACACAACAACAGTCATCGCAGAGACACGTCATATTTATGTCTTCAATTTCCCTAATTCAACAATTTAACGCTGTCCACTTTGTCAAGAACACTTACATTCTCAGCTTTCCTAAATGTCAGCTTTCCTAACTATCAGCTTTCCTGATCTAGGGGGTTGGGTTGTGAGACTTTAAGTAGCCAACCCCTTGTCTCATTTCGTCTCTTAGCGAATCCTGACTCCAATGGAAATTGGCGGAAGTAGTCGGTATCGGGTGTATCTAGGTACCGTGTTATGTCGGTGTCAATCTAATCACATAATGAGGCTGGTATTCGATACTGGGTATTTTCTTAGATTAAAATGAGGACCTGATTACCGTTGTATATTTGGTACTTAACATTTGTAAAGAAAAATAAAACAATTTCTGAGATCAAAATCCAACAGGTTAACTTATTCTTTTCTCCTGTACATCTTTTTCTTTGTGCCGCTATGCGCCGCAGGTTAACAGATGGTCAGTTTCCGAGCTAGGGCACGCTCGGTTGATGCTGTGGTGTTATTTGATCTCAAGGTATTTGTGACTCCTTCAAACCACATCCTTCTTGGTCGTCCGCTACCTCTTCGTGTTCCTACTTTGTACTTTCACTGGCATCAGAGGATTTATTCTCATTAAATGTCCAAACTGTTTTAGTTTTTGTTTTAAGCTCTCTCTCTCTCTCTCCTACGATACACGCTTAGCCAAATCAAAAGGAGCTTAAATCAATCAGGAAACACCAGAGATGAAATGACAAGAAGAACAAAGTTGACAACAGGATAGGGAATGAGTGTTCTGACATGGAGGAAAGAAGCCCAGAGATGGCGGAAATAACAGAACTCTGGCCATGAAAGTGGCGCAAATAAACAAGACCACAAATATAGCCTTAAACTGTTAGCAGATTTAGCTAGCTAGCTGCAGGTTGAACGTGCTTGAGTTTGTGAGTTTTTCTTAAAAGGAATTTGAACTGGAAATATGAAGTTTTTGTTTTCAATAAATATAATTCCAGACATTGTTGTTGTAATTGTTCTTGTAATTTCTTTTATTTTTCTCACATTATCTCTTCTAGTTTCGTTCACGGCCTTTCTCAAACATTTAATCTCACAGGTGATCAGTATTTTTTCGTGTCTGACACTGATAGCACAAGGTTAGTTAAAAAAAAATAGTTGTGTATCCTTTACAGGACGTTGCAGAACCAGCCCCGGATTTTTTTGGCTATTGTGTTTTTTCTTTTAGGAGTTTGCCATTGCTTTCTGCATGTTCAGCTCTCGGTACCAACGCAAGACAAACCATCCTCAGCTGCGATAGAACCCGGCATTACGAATCGCGTTCGCAACGACTTAGCCACAGACGCCAAATTTGGTATGGCCAAATTGAGACAGTTTCTGCTAAAATAGTTTGTCCACATCTTCGAGTTGGTCATTAAACCACAGTTATTTTCAGATCTTCTGCTCTGCCCACCACTCAGTGAAAAGTTAGACAGCCCACGTGTTAATGGACTCTGTGTTTCCATTTGACAGACGAACCAGCGCCATTTTACCGGTACCGGAAATGCCTAATCAGCCATGACTGTTGCCCCAGATGCAGCCGTTCAACGCTTGCTCTGAAAGTTTGTAAATTGGTGTTGAAAGTCTGTCTGTTTCTCTCAGTCTAATTGGACTGTTGTTCTATTACGGCGTTCGTTGTTCTATTCTGGCGTTTGTTTGTTGGCGTGTCTGTCTGTTTATTTGGGAGCTGATTTCTAGAATGATTTGAATTTGCGGTCGCTGACGTCACCAGGCATAGAAACATCTCCCAGTTTTTGTGTGTGTCATTATGATCCTTTTTGGCTCGAAACCTCTAATGGGATTTTAAAGTGAACCTAATGGGATCTCACACATAATGGATTGGAGTGGTGTAGTGGTTGCGACGTAGCCTCTAACGTGTACATGCCGGGTCGAGTCTTAGAGTGAGCAGTATGGATTTGTTCTGTCTGGCTGGCTGTTTGTCTGTCTGTCTTTCTATCCTTCATATTTTTTTTTACTTAATTTTTCCTTTTGTCTTTCCTTCTCTCCGTCTTCATCATTTTCAATATTCTTTCTTTCTTTCTTTCTTTCTTTCTTTCTTTCTTTCTTTCTTTCTTTCTTTCTTTCTTTCTTTCTTTCTTTCTTTCTTTCTTTCTTTCTTTCTTTCTT